ATGTGCTTGACACAAGAAACCGGTAAACTTAGCTAAATTGACCGATTTTATGTGTCAAACACATAAATTACAATTCGTTCTTGTAACGAAGAAGTACAAAATATCATAACATAAAATGATTTCATAATTCTGAAAAACAACTTTTTATAGAGTTGGTTGGAAATGCTAACATGAAGCTTTTGTGTGATAATTTATTAGCTAGAGAATGATCTTTTAAAAGAGGGTTGGACGATAGTTCCGTTAGAGTACGGCACTATGAAAATTGAATAGAAGTTGGAAATGAGCGAAGGGCCATTAATGCGACAGTATAAAGTCAAACGCACATCTTTTGCCTAACCAGTGTTCACTCGGTTGTCGACAAAAGCAGGCCACTCTCGATGTGTGCTACGCGATCGTCTGTTTTCTCGGCAGCAACCATTGTGTGGTCCTCCTCATTGTTCTTCATCAGCAGTTCTTTCGGTCGATGCGTCGTCGACTTTGGAAAGCAACCGTTTCGTGATGAGTGTGTGAGTGCTGACCACGTTTTGCGTCCATTGCTGCAATGGACGCGCTCTGACCCTCGTTGGCGTACAACAATTTGCCATACAATGAAACTACTGGAAGCGGCTCCAGTTCTGAAGGAGAAGGCTTTTTGGATAGCGGAAGATAAAGTGTTTATTGTGTTGTACCTTTTGACTATAGTTTTAAGATGTATTGTATAGTGACCAAGAATCCTCGGCTCTGTAAAGTTAATTCGGTTGAGCCTTATCAAATAAATTAATAAACAATCTTTTGCCTAACCCGTACGATGTACGCGGAACTTTTCGTAGCAAAAGAATGGCCGCAACCCTGCCGTTGGTTATTACAATTTTTTTAAACAAAATTTTGAGTTTTAAGAACTCATCATCATGCTAACGTCGTTCGGTTAGAGTGAAACCCAACATTAATCATAGACACAAACATACAAATATTGTTGTACTGGAAATTGTGACCCACAATGTACACAATTATAATGCTGGTAGAAATATTGGCAGCCATATGTAATCCACCGCAAATAAAAATATTGATTTTTGTTATGTGATCGACAGGGTACCCGGGTACCTTTTCAGATTTCAAGTTAATAAATTTTGAAGTTATTTTCACGACAGGAAGCCAGAATTCAGTGACATATTAGAACTCATGCAGCGACAAATTTTCATGCAGAAAGATTTCAAATTGCAGCAACGGGCTTCGAAAGGGGGTTCGTGAAATTTTTTACCCTCTAGGAGCTCGACAAGGGTACCCGGGTACCCACAAAATTTAAATGCGTGCTACTGCGGCCAATTTTAACAGATTCTGAATCTTATGGCATCATTGGATTTAGAAACCTATCCTCTTTCTAGACATCGCCGTTGATGGCCATCCGGAATAGTCTGGTTCCCGGATATCCGGATTTCCTGTATAATGTTCCAGAACTAAGCATTTTCTTACCACTTTCACTAGAATTTGGAAGGAATCGATATCAAAGTATCAGAATCTCCTTCAAGAAACAATTTCAGCTTACTTGAGGACCAGTTTAAGGTTTCTCCCCGAATCTGCCATTCCGGCGCAGGTTCCCGTAGGGCCTCTAGTGGCCATAGAAGTGTTTGGGGAGAAACCCCTGCAATATGGGTATCAACATTCATGAATTTACAGCAGGAGACTGTTTATCATAATTTTGTGATCATCCGATGGATTGTCCCCGGGACGGCCATTCCGGAGTAGGTTCCCGTTGGGCTTCTAGTGGCTATAGAAGTGTTTGGGAAGAAACCCCTGCAATATGGGTATCAAAATTCATGAATTTACAGCAGGAGACTGTTTATCATAATTTTGTAACCATTGTAACCATTGGATGGATGTGCCTACAATATGGGTATCAAAATTCTTGAATTTTCAGCAGTAGACTGTTCATCATATTTTCGTGACTATCTGACAGATGGTCCCGGAATGGGCTTGGATATAATGCTCTTTATTTTTTGAAATTTAAAAAAGAAACTTTTCTCATCATTTGTTTGTATCTGAATAAATTTCCATGGAACGGTCATTTTGGAACAAGTGAATAATCGAGTGGTGGTGAAAAATGTAGGATGAAAACTCATGCAATTTTTATTTTCTTGAGTTTTCCTGGGGTTCAATCCCTCTGGGGGCATAGAGGTTGTGGAAAAATGTTGTATTGGGTTTTTGTAGTCTCTGCTATGCTAGAAATAAACTCACATTTCTCTGGACTATTAATCCTCATAAAACATTGTTAAAAAATTACAAGCATATAAAAAGCAAACGAAAAAAAAAAAACTTCAGTTATCGCAAATTTCTTAGCAGTGCTGATTGCACACAGGTTTTGAGCATGACTTACACATCTTCCTGGTCTTCCTACACTTGATGTCTTCACTTTTGCAGATATGACAGATGCCTACGGCGCCCGTTCGGACGGATCCCGTTCAACTGGAGTAGAACTAACTGCACGCTTCGAAAAAGTCATGTAAATTTAAGTGCTCTGAGACTGACATATACGAGCGTCAATTTTGACATAGAATGCAGTCATAACAGACGCGAAATTGAACTCAATCAAACGTACTTTTCGTCGAGTAACGAACTTTTCAGTCTGTGAGCACTCAATTTTACATGACATATTTGTTTACGTCTTAAAGAATTATGTCAAAGATGGATTCCGTCACGCGGTCTAAAGGTGAAAAATAAAACACATTTGAAGAGTAACACAAGAAAAGGGCCTACAAGCTTTTCGTAAACAAAACTTCACATGCCATTGACATTGCTGCCGCTTATTGTTCTAGTGTGTGTACGCGTATACGTATAGACCAATGTCAGTGCGCTTTGTGAGAAAGTATTAGTGAAAATCCGTGGAAAATAATAGCAAACCGCTGTCAGACTCACTTAAGCGAAAATAATAAAATATGTGTGCATTGCCGTCAGGTCCGGATCTTTCGACGCGTTTAAGTTTTTTAGTGCATTGAGGACTTGATGTTGAGATTGTTGGTTGACAGAATTGTTGTTATAAATTTCAGGAATGAATGCAAATAAATCGCGTTCGGAAAATGTGATGTGTACTTCTTGGAAGAAGTTTGCAAAGAGATTGAAAATCTCATAAGAATTCTCACCTACATTTGCATCCAAATTCATTCGCGAAGTAAAATTGCTACTTTTTAGTTTCGTGTTTACATAATTAAAAAAAAAGTTCCTAGGACATGACTTGAGTTCATTTTCGACTTTACGGTTATAATCCTCATATGCAGAGTTGATTACTGTATTTAGTTGGTTGCAGAAGTTATGATAGTTTTGCAAATTGGTTTAGTGTTTTCGTTTTTGTATAGTTTGTGAGCTTTCTATTTTTTACTCTTCAAATTTTTAAGTTATGGATTGAACCACACTGGCAGTTTATTGTTTTGTATTCGACATCGTTTTTTTGGCACAGTTTCTAAAATTAGGCTTTGAAGAATTGAGTGCAATTTTTGTGTAGACATTTCATTGAACACTTATTAAATTCTGCAAATTTATTGTCCATAGTTTGGCTTCTTCGTAATTTGCTTTTGGTATTCCTCTCGTATTCCCTGTCGCTGGGGGAAGAAGAATTATGTACGAAGATTGGATATTCAATTGCTGTGTGAAACACTTAATTTTTCCATAAAGTTGATAATTATGTCTACCCACAGAAGTTTTCAGTACAAAATACTAAATACGCGTTTTGTTGATTTTTTACATGGTTAATTTGATTAAAACCTAAAAAAGATATTTTGTCGAACAATAATTGTACTGTTTCGTCTTCACCTATAGCTGAGAGTAAAAATGATTCATTTTCAATGTCTGTAATAAAGTCTGCGTTTCGTTGATTGAAGTTGTCATAAATATGCAATTTTACTTCTGGTTCCATATTGGACATTATAGTTTCCACAATTTGAAATGAATAGTTCAAAAGACTGCTTGTGGGCATGTTGGTGGAAAGTACACCGAAGAAAAAATGTGTGTTTTACCTGCAATAATTGCTTTGACCCACACATTTTCGAATTCTTTGTGTTCATTTGTTATGATTTCTTCAGAAGTAAAGTCAGCATTGATGGCAATGAGCACTCCACCACCAGACTTTTTCTTACATAGTTGTAAATTCCTGTCGTGCCGGAATACAATAAAATTGTTTCGTCCCAGCTTGTTTCAGTTCCAAGAATTTCCTGGAAAGAAGAAGATAGAAGTTTCTTAGTACATCGTTATTCCAGAAAAGTGTTCATGTGATTTTATAACTATCATTATTACAGTCAATTCAACTCTCTTGGGTCATTCCTGACTTGTGAGGGGTTGATATTTCGTGAATTTGGCGTGAGAAGTATGAATGTTAACCACTACGCCGGGGTCTCTTATGTCATGATGGTGGGTTTTGTCATTGTTTATCGTGTCCACCAATATTTTTGTCGAACTAAATAGAAATATTTCTTTACCTATGAATTTTGCTGATTTTTTTACCTTTGTTTGCTGTTTCCATCCAATTTTAAATATATGCACGCCACGATTCTAATCACAATCAATATTGCATCATCCTCCCTGCTGCCATCAGCTGTATTTTCGCTTTGCTGCTTCTCTCAGTATTTTTAATAGCTCTACCTAAATAGGGGAAAACAGCTCAATATGCACCCCAGGACAAAACGCCCGATCCGATTTTTCATAACATTCCTGTTTTGAATTCAGAAATTTGACAAGCATTTCGGCACAAAAAATTCCATAATTAAGAGTGAAAAGAGTGAAGCTATGCTAAACCAAATCGAGCATTTTGCCCGAGGTGCATTTGTCCCCTGTTCTACCTTACATTTCCCAATATCATTCATGCCTACGTTTGAGCTGACACGTCCTCATAAATCCTCTTAGCAGAGCCGGATTTTAATACAAAAACCATTGATGGCGCGAAGCGCAACTGTGACTATGATGATGGTGATGACGACGACGGCAGTGTGGCGGTAGAAAAAATTATTGATATATTTTTTATCACATTTTAATTGCAGGAGTGCTTGGCCAAGCTTTTATGAAAAATTGACGAGCAGCTGCATCCTTCCTGTGCTGCCTCCCAGTGACGAGCGACGCGCACTCTCACTCCACGGCTGGTCCTCGAGGAAGCGAGTGATGTCCACGTTAAATCAACATTACAATATGTGCCACTCCAATTTAATATTCATCATACTTTTTATTTTTAACGGTGAGTACAACTTTTTTCAATATTTTTTCTTTAAACAGATAAACAACTTATGGGAAATTTTGGATATTAAGCATCGGTGTTGCAGGTTGATTATATTGGTTGGCCTTGTAGGTTTTATAATTATGTATATTTTCAATGTATTAAATATTTTCAGTTTTTCGTCAACACTATCACTGAGTTGAGAATATGCTATAATTGCCCTGTTGCTCTGCCGAACATGTGAATTATAATAAGGCTGCATATTTTAAACTTAACACTAAGGTTTGGGGAATACTTTTTAGAACGCTTTTACTGTTTTAATAAAGTACTTGAAAAACATCGTTACTAAAGGTTGAACACGAAAAAATCGGTACACATTAAGAACGCATTTTTTGAGTAAAATTTTTCAAAATTTCACTCAATGCTACACTAACAAAATTCCACACATTTTTATTGATGAATTTCCATGTGGAATTCCACATGATTTTCATATGACCACACATAAACAGAATCCACCCAGAAGCACACATGAAATTTATGATTCAAATGAATAGTATGTGTATTACACATGGCTTTTATGTGTACACATATTAAATATGTGTCCGACACATAGATATCATTTGTTTATCACATTGCAAAAATTTATGTGTGGGACACATAAAAACAATATTTGAGTGTCTAAAATAATAGAAGGGATAGATTGTCAGGTTAAGTTCATTTATTTATATCATGGCTTCACCGGAGAAATTATAGGGATATTTCCCAGTTTTTCTCTAACAGGAAGAAGCCGCTATCTTGAATTTCAAAATGGAGTCAGAAATGGATTTCAGGTCTCTACACGTCACTCTGATTAAAAAGTACTCATATTGTGGGGTATTTTACTGGATTTCCAAGTTTTTCTGTAACTGGAAGCGCCATCTTGGACTTCAAAATGGCGTCGGTCTTAAATTTTCGGTCCCTACACGTCACCGCGATTCCAAAAATACCCATATTTTGGGGTATTTGACAGAATTTCCAAGTTTTTCTGTAATCGCAAGTCAGGATTTTTGATTTCAAAATGGCGTCAGACATAGATTTCTGGTTTCTACACATAACCCGGTTTAAAAAATAACCATATTGTGGGTTATTTGGCCGTATTTTTAAGTTTTTCTGTAACCGGAAGCCACCATATTGAATTTTAAAATGGCTTCAGACATCTATTTCCGATTCCTATATGTAACCCCGATTCCAAAAATACTCATATTGTGGGGTATTTGACAGTATTTTTAAGTTTATTTGTAACCGGAAGCCACCATCTAGGATTTAAAAATGGCGTCAGACATGGATTTGCGGTTCCTACACGTCATCCAGATTCCAAAAATACGAATATTGTGAGTTATTTGACAGTATTTCCCAATTCGTGCCAGTCTGTAATCGGATGTCTCAATCTTGGGTTTCAAAATGGCGTCGGACATGCATTCCCGGTTCCGGATCAAACAATAACAATATTGTGGCAATATTTTTCAAGTTTTTTTTACAAAGTAGATCCCAAATAACGAGATTTTTTTTAACGCACAGATATTATGTAACCCAAAAACGTGGTTTTTTGAATACCTTACACTTTTCCTAAACCTAAAACATGGTGGTTAACACATTTCCAGACTATCCCCACCACTCTAATTCGATTTACGAACCCGGTTTGGCTCGTAAATGGAAGTTCCAGTTTACCATTATCTAAAAGGGGAGAATTTTCCCTACCCGATGAATTTTATGGTTTGCTACTTTTTCAAAAAAGCCAAAAATAAAGTAGCATCGAAGGCACATTTTGGGTTGTCCTAGAGCATGTTTTTTTTTCGTACAATATGGTCACAACAATTAAAAAAACGTAAACTCGTTTTTGCATGACAAAGGGGCACGTCTCCAATAAAAAGCTAGATATAATGAAAGAAACACATTAGATTTAGTTCAGTGGAATTGAAAAGATTCATAAAACTGAAACTTAACACAACTATGCAGAATATTTTATGAACATAAACTTTCAACCGTTGAGTGTGAAAATTCACATATTTTGAGTTGTGCCAGTATTGCACGAAATCGACGACATGTACACAACATGTGATGCTTGTGAACAGAAAAGACTACAAGTGTACACAACATTGGTTTCAATCCCGACGATTCTTGGGTATCTCCTTCTTCTGTTCTTCTTTTTCTTCACTTCTTTTTCCTTCCGTTTTTTCCACATCTCCTTCGGCTTTTCGACGGTATGCTTTTTGTTGTCTTCTTTGTCGTTCTTGAGTTTTTTCAACTCCTTTTCCTCTCCTGGCGTTTCCCTTTTCCTCTTCTTTGAGCGTGGATTTCGGGGTCCTTTTGGCGTCACGGATCTCACCCTCAGCGCATCCTCTTCACGTTCGGCAGCAATAATGGCGGATTTGATGCCCAACACCATTTCCTTTATTGCTTTGTGGACGTTGCTCTTATCCTTGACAAAGTCATGGAGTTCATTGATCCTCCTCCTGACCTCCATCAGTTAGGTCTTCCCAAGCTGGGGTGAGCTACTGCTACACGCAGAAAAAAATATTTTAAGCGTAATAATATTTGACGTAAATGCAATAAGAATTTCATGTTGTTTTGGCTGCAAAAAGAAATCATTATTGTTTCAACAATCCAGTATTGTTGTCCCTTAAAACCCATGGATTGTTAAATCAAAAAGAAAATCTTTTCGAATTTACAAGAGCTTTCATGGTTTTGACGTAAGCTGTCAAATTTGGCAGCTGGGTCAACAAGAAAATATGTTTGTTTTTAAAAGAGATTTCTTGTTGATTCAATCAAATTTATTTTATGAAGGCTGACAATTCACGCAGTAGAAATAACAATATGTTTATTGATTCAAAAATAATGTCGATTTTTTTTTTGTGTTTTGTTTTCTTTTTGCAACAAACAGAATTGCAATTGAATTTTTGAGGCATAAAATCACTGATCACGCCTTCCTTCGGGAAGGGAAGTAAAGCCGTTGGTCACCGGTTCATGAGTTGATGGGTCGATATGTAGGGTCCAGGTGTGGGAGGTGCATTCCTGGCGTCGGGTGCATTGGTACTCAGTACGGAAAACAAGATCGACGGAAAAAAATCAAGGGAAAAAAACTTAAAAATTGATTATATTTAACAACTGCAGCTTCAACTGCAGCTTACAAGAGATGAACTAGCCTCAGGCTAAAAATCTCTAAAATAAAGAAAAAAAAAAAAAAAAAACTGCAGCTTACTTGCTTACCTCAAGTCTCAAGATTTTCGGAAATCTCGTACTTATTTCCCGAAATTCACAATTAAAAACAATACTTAATCAAATGAGAAATTTGTTGTTATTATTTACATTTTTGTCCGGGTGAAAACGAGGGAATAGTTGGTGGTTATTTTTGTATTCATGGCCCGGGGAATAGACACAGCAAATAAATGCTAAATTAAAATTAACTATTGTTGGCTTAATAATAGAATATTGTTATTTTTACAATAGTTGCAATTGAAAAGTGGCTTATTAAAACAAAAAGAATCTTATGTTGAATTTATTTGAATAAGTTTTATAGAAACAATAAAATGCAATATAATTTCAACCGGAATACAACTAAAGTTTTGTTTGGTTCAATGCAAACAATTTTCTGTCCGTGTAGATTTCGATGTGAACATCTGGCTTAGAACAAGACCTAGCTCTCCTTGGTGTCCTTGCTGCTCACCTTGGGGCTTACTGCTGCTGCTGGAACTCGCTGTGACCCCCAGGTTCATCACTGGTGATCTCTGCAATATCCCGCTCCTTGCGAACACGTTTGCTCCTCCTTTGTCACTGTCTGGCGTCTTTCCACCGTCCTTGATATTTGTTTTTTGTTTTTTTTTTCGTATTCATCGTTTTTTTTTTTTTTCCGATTTTCTCCATTCTGGTGGGCCGCCATGTCCACTCGTTATACCTATGTAGTCGCCTATTGCATAGATAACCATGGGATCACGGTTATCTATGCAATCGGGAGACCATGCTAGGGTTGACACGGTCCTTCATGGAGGCCGTATTCAGAGCATTGCCCAGGCTACACCACGGGGAGGTGTGAGGTAGGAACTTGTGAGGACCAGAGCTAGGTTGTCAACTCACCATTTGTAGGCTGTGTGTGTGTGTGGGGGGGGTTGTTTATAATAAGGTTTAGGAAAGCTTCAAGAAGCCTGGCCTGTAGTGAAGTTGGCACGGTGCGGTATCCACTAGTTGCCTAGTGCAGCTCCACTAATACCCATTCCTTACTCTCTCCTCTGTCTGGATCCCCCGGGACCATTGTGAAGCAACTACTTCAAGGGGTGGCTGTGCTCATTTAGTGCTAGCTGGCGTCGCTAGATTGCTGCTCTTCTCTCCATTTACGCTGCAGCTCTGACATGATCTGTGTCACTGCCCTGTTGATGGCATTCCAAGTGCCCTCCTCTTGACACATTTCAATGACGACATTCTTCACGATAAGGACGGGCATTTCCCTTCGCACTGCTTCGAACCTTGGTTAGTCAAAGACCACATGCTCCGGCAAATCATCGACGTTGCCACACTCCGGACAGAGAGGTGACGCTGCGTGTCCGAACCGATGCAGGTATTTCCTGAAGCAGCCGTGGCCAGCCAGGAACTGCGTTAGGTGGAAGTTGACTTCTCCGTGTAGAACATTTGGTTAGGTGGAAGTTGACTTCTCCGTGTTTTCTGTTCACCCAGGTCGAAAGAATCGATATTAGTCTATGTGTCCATCTACCGTTCTCCGTCGTGTTCCACTCCTGTTGCCACTTAACCAATGACTCCACTCTCACAACTTTCCGTACTTTCCGGCTTCTCTCCGCCTGTAGTACTCGCTGTCTTCCGCCTGGGTGATGTCGATAGGGATCATACCGGCGATAACGCTTCCGACGAGATGGTTATGTACGCACTCACGACTCGCATGGTCATGAGCCGGAACGTACTGCTCAGTTTTCTTTGGTTCTGCTTCGTTTCCAGTGCTGCAACCCAGGCTGTGTGTGTGTGTGTGTGTGTGTGTG